TCGCCCCTGGGAAAGGAAGGGAGGCAGGTAACCAATCACTGCCCTTTAGGTTGCTGGGGGGGTGGGCACAGACCAGTGATGTGCTGTTGGGGTGGGCCACAGACAGTGAGGTGCTGTGGGGGTGGGCACAGAGACCCTGGGCCTGGGGCGGGAGTGTCAGGAAAGCGTCGTAGTGGGCATGGACTCCGGAGGGCCACCCTGAAGTTGGGTGCAGTGGGGACAGTGTGAGGAAGCTCCCCACACAGATTCTAGGGCCGTGCCTGGTACACGTCAAGCCTCAACGGATGTTTGTTGAATGAATAAACGAGGTGAGTCTGGAGGATCCCACTGGGGACTGGCGCTCCAGCCTCCTGTCTCTCCCGTTTCCTCTTTGTTCCGGGTTTTCTCGGCTTTCGTGACATCTGGGTCACTGCCCAGGCGACCCAAGAGGCAGGCGTGTACCTCAAGATGTTTCTGTCCTAGAGATGGGGTGGCAGGGAGAAGCGCCCTAAGGAGCAGGGCCCGGTGGGAGTGGGAGGCGGAGGAAGTCCTGAGCAGCCAGTGAAGACTTCCTCGTACACAAGTCCTGGGCAAGGGCCCGAGAGACCGGCTCTGTGGTTCCCAGGAACTGGAGACCCCGGCAGGACTCAGCAGTCACTCAACAAAGGGCCGCCGTCTGCCGGGCCCACACGAGGCACCCCGGTTGAACATCTCTTTACCTGGGCCTGAGGTGGATGGGCTGCCCATCCTGCCACCCACTGCCAAGCCGTCTCAGGTTCGATGAATCTAAACAAGGTGCAGATGACAGACGTGGCTGCAGAGGCCTGACATGAAGCAGCAGCTGGAGCTGGCAGTGCTCAGCCCAGAGAAGTGACTCACCAGCAGCATTTCAGACGTGGGCACCGGGGTCAGGGCAGAGATATGAACAGGGGTATTCATTCATCATCAGCCAAAACCTACTGAGCACCTATTGCGTGGCAGGCACTGCCCTGTGAGCTGGAGACGCAGCCATGAACAAACCCCGAATGGTCCTGCCCTCGAGGCAGGGACGCTGGGGGGAACAGAATCAGCACAGTAAATCATTTCGTCTGACAGATGATAAGGTTCATGGGGAAACCAAGACAGGGAGGGGTTAGCACAGGAACAGGGGGGTCATGGGAGGTGGGGATGGGGGGTAGGGCGTTGCCATCTTAAACCAGGAGCCCCGTGCAGTGCTCACTTTCTAACTGAGACTTGTGGGAGAGGGGGTGAGAGTTGTGGGTGCCATCACTGATCCTCCAGCCCCAGGAATGGCTCGGGCGGGTGGGACTGGCAGATCTGAGCCTTGGCGAAGGAGAGGCACTGTGGCTGAGGGGCCCTGGCTCTGCTCGGGGAAGGGGAGTCCTCCCTGATGCTGTGAGCCCACCCCGAACTCCAGGGAAGGTGCTCGGCCTCAAGGAGCCCCCTTTCCTCGTGGTTCTAGCTGTGTGTTCTGAGACCAGAACTGCAAGCCAGGCGTGGGATCCAGCCTTCCAGTGGTTTTTGTTAGACCTGCGGTGCTGTTTGTTTTTCTAAATTGGGCAAATCTATCTTTTTTTTTTTTTAATCTGAATTTTGACTAACGCTGCCGTGAACATGAGTGTACAAGTATCTGCCGGAATCCTTGCTCAAACAGATATCTGGCCCTGAGCGGGTGACTCACTTGGTTGGAGCGTCATCCTGTACACCAGAGAGGTTGGGGTCCAATTCCTGGTCAGGGCACATATCTGGACTGTGGGTTCAATCCCTGGTCAGGGTACATACTCGGAGGCAACCAATTGATGTTTCTCTCTCCCGCCCCCCCCCTTCCTCTCTCTCTAAAAATCAATGAAAACATATCCTCTGGTGAGGATTTAAACTAACAAACAAACAAGAACAACAACAACAGAGATTTGTAAACCCATGTTCATAGCAGCATTATTCATAATAGCCGAAAAGTGCAAACAACCCAAGTGTCCATCGATAGATGAATGAATGAACAAAACGTGGTTCATCCATACAATTGAATATTATTCAGCCATAAAAAGGGATGAAGTGCGAACGCGTGCCACAACATCGACAAACCTCGTGGACACTATGCTCAGTGAAAGGAGCCAGACACAAAGAACAAACACTGTACGATTCCACTTACGTGAGGCGGTCCCTGGCGTCCTCTGACTCCTAAAGACAGAGAGGAGGTTAGAGGTCACCGGGCCTGGGGGAGGGGAAAGAGGGAGCTTGTGTTTCATGGGGATAGAGTTTCG